CCCCCCGGCCACTGATCCTTCGAGATGTCCCTTCTCCCCCGTGGGCTGACCTGCAGCCACTGATGCTTCGAGGTCTACCTTCTCCAGCATGGGCTGACCCACAGCCCCAGATGCTTCGAGGTGTACCTTCTCCAGCGTGGACTTCTCCTTGGACCACAGTCCCTTCGGAGCTATACCTGCTGTGGCACAGACATAACCACGGCCGGAGACGCTTTGAGATGTACCTGCTCGGGCAGGGGCTTATCCACGGCCACGGTCCCTTCGACTCGAGTTCAAACTGGAGTTCCAGCCTGTCCAGTACAGCAGCGCAGAAGCAGCAGCGATGCCCTGGCCATCTGCCAGCCCAGGCACACAGCCATTGCTGTTATCAGAATGTTCCCAGGCACAGCAGAGTAAGATGATAAGCAGCACAGCAGTAGAGCAGGCAGCGAAAACAAAAAGCAGCCGCTAACGAGCACTAGATTCTAATATACAGTGAGGCAAGCAAGCCCCATGGTAAGCACAGAAGCCTGTCAATTAATAGCTAAACAGCAATAACAGCTATAAATTTGATCTAGCACATTCCAATCAAATCTGTCGTTATCTTGAACCCTTCGAGCCCCACGTTGGGCACCAAAAAGGACTGTCGTGGTTTAACCCCAGCCAGCAGCTCAGCCCCACACAGCTGCTCGCTCGCTCCCCTTGCATTGGGATGGGGGAGAGAATTGGAAGAGTGAAAGTGAGAAAACTTGTGGGTTGAGATAAAGACAGTTTAATAAGTAAAGCAAAAGCCGTGCACGCAAGCAAAGCCAAACAAGGAATTCATTCACTGCTTCCCATGGGCAGGCAGGTGTTCAGCCATCTCCAGGGAAGCAGGGCTCCGTCATGCAGAACGGTGACTTGGGAAGACAAACGCCATCACTCCGAACGTCCCCCCCCTTCCTCCTCCTTCCCCCAGCTTTTAGTGCTGAGCATGACGTCCCATGGTCTGGAATATCCCTTGGGTCGGTCGGGGTCAGCTGTCCCGGCTGTGTCCCCTCCCAAATCCTCGTGCCCCCCCAGGCTGCTCGCTGGTGGGACGGGGTGAGAAGCAGCAAAGCCCTTGGCTCTGTGCAAGCACTGCTCAGCAGGAACAAAAACATCCCTGTGTTATCAACGCTGTTTCCAGCACAAATCCAAAACATAGCCCCATACCGGCTACTATGAAGAAAATCAACTCTATCCCAGCCCAAACCAGCACAAAAGCCAAATCCGGATCAGTGGTAATTAAAAGAGGGTATTAGCCAGGACATCAAAGATGAGATATTACTAAGGATAAGCACGTTTAATTGGCAGGTTAGCTGGGGGGGGGAGGGGGGGGAGCTATCAGATTCACTGATTCTGAAAACTTAAGAATAATTTGAAAAGTGTGCAAGGCGCAGAGAGGTCAATAGCAGCATGTCAGTGTTCAGACAGCTGGGCTGGATGGCTCAGACAACTGTAGGCTAGTTAGCCTTGAACCTGTACCATAGAAACTAGTGGGAAAATTGTCATGGAGTTCAAGAGGTAGAAAAGATCAGAAATGTAATGAATGCTAGCAAACATGGCTTTATGTAAAGGTTTTCTGGTCAAACAAACCTAATTTTGTTTATTTTGGAGATTGTGAGTTTAAAGTAACAGCATGTTTGCAGCCTGCTTAGCATTTTGTGTTGCACGTAATTTCGAATCTTGCGACATTCTGATTTATGTCTAAAAAAAATTGCAAGCACAGAACGAGATTAAAAACTGGCTGACAGTTATCAGAAAGTAATTATCAGTAGGAAGCCACTCGGGCTGTAGTTTGAAGGGCTTCCTCCAGGATTAGCAAGAGGGACAGTAGTAAGTGAGAATCACTGCTTATAAAATGTGTCATGATTGACACAAATGCTGGACAGGACTGTCATGGTGTGACTGGAATCACTTAATTCACAGAATGTGTTTAAAGGCAATGCATTTTAACCAAGCCAAAGGCAATTATAAACCTAGGAACAGGGAATGCAGAGCACATAAGTAAAATGTGAGGCTTAGAAAAGACTCAAAATAGATCTATTAGTGATATAATAGACAGTCAGCCCCATTAACCCCCAGAGCTTGGTTTTTAGAGACAAACTGATCTTAACCCAGTTTTAGCCATCTAAACATGAAGCACAGTCATGAGATACAGACACCCCCCCCCCCCCAAAAAAATCCTGAAAACCAAAACCACAAAAAACCCACAAGCACAGGGCAGATCATTGAATCCTAAAAGAGATGGGACCAATTTTCTTCTGAAAGTCTCCCCTCCTCCCTCTCTCAGCTGAATTCAGAGTCTGTTGAATAACCTTGAGATGGCTGAAGAGAGGTGAGAGAAATTCCAGCTCCTGTCTGTTATTTACCTCCGTATCTTGTTTTGGTAAGACCAGTACAGTAGTATTAGGTCTTTTTTCTGTTCTCTGTATTCTTAAAACGAGGTACAGATAAGAGACCCAAAACTGATTTAAGTGTGGTGTAAATGCCCTGTGGTGAGATAATGCATGAGCTTGAATTACTTCATTTATTGAAAAGATGATTGAGAAGTGACTTGATTGCAGTGTGGAAGTACTTTCAAAGGGAGAACACACCAGGTACTAAAAGGCTCTTTAGCACCATATAGAAAGTCATAAGAAGAACCAACTGCTAGAAGCTGAAGGCAAATTCATATCAGAAATTAAGCAGCAATATTAGTACCACTTCAGCCACAAATAAGCTACTGGGTTCTGTATAGAAGAAAGAGGATAAAATTTACCTGTCTGTGATACACAGGAGGTCAGGCAAATTTGCCAGGTTGTCTCTCCTGACCATAAACCTTAGGAATCTGTAAAACCAGAAGTGTTTTAATACAAATTTTCTTTGTTTCATTCAAAACTACCTGAAAAAGTATGGCATTCTTACTCCTTTCAAGGACTAAGTTTAAATCAAACCAAGAAATTTTAGATTAAAGCATTTTAAAATACATGGTGTCAGAGTAATCACTCTCTGCCATATTCAGGGAGAGCAGACGTAGATTTCCAGGTGTAATAATATTTCAGTCTATAAGACAGCAGAAAAATTAGAGATGTCTCAGAGTGCCTTGCATTACTTGCATCAGTACTTCTAAGCGTTTCTGTTACCTTTTGTGACACTGGCAGCTGAAGGTGACGGTGACAGTGTAGTACCCTACACCAATAGTAAGATGAGGCTCTCTGTTGGAAGGACGTTTTAAATAGCGAGAGCTAATCAAGCCATTAGAGCTCATCCTTTCTTGTTACGCGAGGCTGTTCCAGAGGTGTTTGTTTTACAGATATTGCGCTGGCTACGCCCCAAAGAGGTGGATGAATTACCACACACCCCCCCACACACGCAGGTGTTTGCCCACCATCACTTCTCTCTTCCTTTCTACATGAAGTTGCTTTTAATTTTTAGACTTTTCCACCCTGATGGAGTAGGCTGGTGCTATTGCACTGCTCATCGTTGCTTTAGGCCAAAAGGTGTTCACGGTGGATTACAAAGTGACTGTGTTACAGAGGTGAATGTACAGAGAGCAATATTAACTAAAACTTAGTATGTGATCTCCTAGGTTACTAACTGCAAGTTTTTATTTCTTTTCCCTGAGTGTTAACATATGTAGTAATTACTTGTATTGCATTATGTTCCTTTAGTGAACAATTTTTTTTTTATTGTAAAAAGATGAAAATAGGTTACTCTTTTTCTGAGGATAGGAATAAATTAGCTCTCATTTTATCTTCCACTAATTTTGGATACTTTGATGATTGACTTCTCTTTGTAGATTATTTTTTTCATGGTGACTAACTGTACTCAATACATATTTCCAGAAAACAGTTCCTAGATAATGAGTGCAGCAATCTAGAGAAAGAGGGACCACACAGTTACCATCTCTTATTTAAAATTTGATCTCTGTGATTCGTTCTTAATATGTAAAACATCTGATGGCAAAATCAGGAAGTCTAGGGTATACCAGCTGTGCAAACATGTTTTTCCTGCTTATTTCTTTGGTGTCTAAATAGAGATTTTTAGAACTTAATTTGAGATTTCAGAACTTATAATTACATGATATTTACTAAATGCTTAATTAGTGAAGAATAATTCAAATGTTGACCGTGTTGGTGAATCTTATTTTAATGTCCAGGTTTGCTTTTGTTTTTTTCATTCTAGATAAACTTTCCTTGGAAGGAATAGTGGTGCAACGAGCTGAATGCAGACCTGCAGCTAGTGAAAATTATATGAAACTGAAAAGGTAGGAGTGCTCTATTACAAATGGATGTGTGATATCTGATGCTTTATTATTGTCTTACTAGGGATGGATGACTTCAGTATTATCATGGTCTTATGTAGGATTTATACAGGATTGGAACTGTTCTTGCTTTCGGGGTGGATTTACTGTAGGGAGGGAATGAAGGCTGGCGTGGGGCTTGTACCTCCCTCTGGTATTGTCTGGTGGGACGATGTAGACTTTTGCGTTCCATCATGTGCAAAGCTCTTACTAGAGCACACATTGTGCCTCTTCATACCTGAACATACGAATGTGTGGCTATATTCAAGTGTGATTAAAGCTGAATTTCCTGAGGACTTGAAGGTTTACATTGGTCAGGACACGCTTCTTGAGTATGGGTTTCTGTGTGGATCATCTAAATGTAATTCCACTTAATACTGTGCCATACTAGACGAAGAGCACCTCTGAAAAGATATTTAAAATGCCCCAAATAGGAGAGAGTTCAGGGAGATGTACGAGACCTAGACTGGCTTGCTTGGTAGGAAAGGTAATGGCTGAAAATGTCAGAAGTGGCATGGAAGCCACAAGACATACATTTAACAGAGTCATTTAGTGACTTTTGAAAATTTAATCTGCTACATCTAGAATTTACCATGTGCTTCATATATCATACAGATAATTAACTTGATGATGTACTCTAGTAATAAATCAGATTTGGAATTGAATTGTGTATTATATTAAATACTTATTTATAAATTTCAAGCATGTGGGTTTTAATTAAATCATGCTTTTATATTGTGAGTTTGCTGTAAATAGAGAAATCCAAACCAGGAGATTTCAGGACGAGAATCATCCGTGACTAGTTTTCAAATCATCAAAAGAAATGCAGAAAAGGCAAAGTGATGTTTTTTCCCCAATTCCTGATCTATTTTCTGTGTATCATATACTACATTTGCCGTATCTTATGTTTTATTAACCTCCTCTGTCATCTAAACTGCTCCAGTATTTCCTTATTGTGTTCAATTCTGAGACGATGTTCTAGCTGTTGGCAAATCCGTACCATAAGTTTGCTCATGTACGTGAAGTGCTTCATTTCAGACTGTGTTCTGTGATTGCTATCATGATTTTTCTATCTGTGTGAAATGGAGTATGAAGCAAATGTGATGTTACTAGAAAAGGACTCATTTCAATCTGGCAATTTTAAATATATACAAATATAGTCTGTGGGATGTATTTACTTCATAATTGTTTTAATCACAGGTTGCCTGATCCAAGTGCTTTTTTTGCATTTTGTACGCAGTTTTCTATTAGTTGATCAGCTAAGCTGCTTCTGGTAAGGCCACAGCAGGAGACCAAAACAAAACTGATAGCTTTAATGACATGCTACCCAAACGTTGAATTTTTCAGCATTCTACTTTCTGTCACGCACGCATGCATGGAACCCCTCCTGGTCTTTGATTTTGTTGTGTTCAACTCCTATAGGAGCAATAAAGATACAAACACAAAGGCAGGTTTTGTGTTTGGAAGAACTGGCAGCTGAAAACTGATGGTACTGTTGTTTTTTCTTTCCTGTAGAAAAATTGTCAGACTGTATATGCCTAGTTTCTAACTTTCCATGTTGTTAAAGATTTTTTGCCTCTTATCAAAAAGTTTTAAAAAAAAAAAAATCTTGTGGGAATCAGCATGAGATTTAGCAGATCTAGCAGTCACAGCCTCAGAAAAAGTTGGTTTATGTCCAAATACCATCTCTGGTATTTGAGTAGTAGGATCTAACTTTTCTCTTCACTCCCTTTACTCTCTCCCACCCTCGACATGCTGCAGTCTGTATTTGTGCTTTAAAAAAGTGACAGCATTGAAGATAAACCACGTAAGTTACAGAACTGTGTTTATATTGAACCATTTTTATTCATTTTTCTATTTACTATTGTGCTTTACATGAGAGAGACTCTCCAAAGGTGGAATTGATAATATTGATAAAACAGCAAGTCTGTTGTGTAGGCTTTAAGTGCTACAATAGTAAGTTGAGTTGGGAAGGAAATAAAAGATAAATGCAGTTGCTTCAAACTTTGAAGATCTAGAAAATGAAGTTAAGCTGCACACTCCAATAGCTGCAATCATTTGATTTCCGAGAGCTGGCAGTGACCAAAAGGGATTAAATACCTCCCTGGTATTAAACGCAGCTATAGATCCCATCTATTTTACCGTCTGTATCTGGGTCAGGGAAGTCGGCTGATGGGTTTGTGGTGTGACGTGGCATCTGATTTCCATGGTAGTTTCAGTGAGAGGACAAAGTGATGGTCTTGTGATGGGGCTGCCAGCAGTTAGGTGGGAGATACGTGTGACGTGTGGGTTTAAGGGTGGGCAAGGAAAGCACAGAGTTTGGTGAAAGCATTATCACATGTAGCAGACGGGAAGGTTTTTTCCCAAGGAGCAGCTTTTGATTTGATTACAGGAAGGGTGTAGATGGCTGATGTTCACAACACTTTGAATACTTTGAGTACAAATGTGTGTCTAGGGATAACTGGTCAGAAAGGTAAAACAAAGCCTGTGCGACCTTCACTTGGTATTTTCCATTTTGGAAGTTTTGTTGTTGGTAGGTTTGGGGTTTTTTTCCCATTTTCCTGAACTTCAAGTTCTAGAAGGCGAACAAATACCGTGAAACACCTGCTATCCTGCACTAGTAAAGCTTCATGCTGTTGAATTTCCTAGAAATTTTTTACTAACAATGTATTTGTTCTTTGTAACACCTTAATGATTAGTTATACATTTGCAGTTACTGCTGGTGATGCTGTTGAGGCAATAATATGGGGTTTCCAAGCACCTGTCCTAATTTCTGTCTTGTGGGAGTGGATCTCACAGTCCCACTTAAAAATATTTGGACTGTGGGTGAAAAAAGTAGGCGGACTGTTCCCAACTGCGGATGTTTTTACTGTGTGGTGGTCACAGAAAATACTGTCCCTACGCTACTCTTTCTGGTTGATGCTTCCCCTCTTGCCCCATCAAGCCTGTCAGACGAAGGAAGACGGTGGCATGTCAACTGTTGTGGAGAGGAGAGAGGAGTCCCCCAAACATTCGGGGTCCCCTCAGGCTCCAGCTGACTTGCGAGGAGATGAGAATAAGATTTTGATACTCCCAAGGGGCTTTTGCTATGCACGAAAGAGGGAAAATGGGGGACTGGCATGCACCCCATCTCTCTGCCAAATTGTCCTTGTTTCATTCTCAAATGTACCAGTGAAATGCTGGTTGCCTTTCAAAATGGCTCTGATTCAATTATACATAAGGTAAGTTACTGAACTCTCCCAAACTGTACACAAAATTAAAACAAAAAAGGAGTCCCAGGATTACAGAAAGCCTAGAAGAGCTGACAATTAACACTCCGGTAAGGCTGGTAATCCCTATAATTCTCTTAAGTAACTTAAAAACACATCTTGAAGTATCATTAGTGAAAATGTTAGTTGCCAACATGGCAGCTTGTAACAAGGCTGCAAGAATTTTGTATATATTCTTGCTTTTTCTTTTAAGAGTTTTCTACAGAGAGCGTGATGAACGTCCTTAGAAAAAGCTGCTGGAAGAAACATGCATGATAGGCTTTAGGAGAAATGGGTTGCAAAACGTTCTCGACTAGTTAATGAACTTCCACATTTGAAAAGTCACATTTCTTTACAGCCATATTACAAAGGCCACTAGAAGTCCTGACACTGGGTAGTCTAGGCCAAGCAAGTGAAATTTAGTTAGTGCAGATGAGTTCTCATCTTCTCTAAAATACTGTGAGAGTATTGACTGACAGCTCAGTATATTGCTGAAAATGAGCATTATGCTCATTTTTTTTCCCCAAATACCCCCTACTAGCAAAAGAAAATGAATAATTTGACCAGCATGCCACTTCATATATATTCTTGTAGATATGCTTAGCTGGCTATGAGTTGCCTTTCAAAATAAATATGTATGAATACATCCGTGCATTTTCCACAAAAGCTGATATGCTGCACAAATGCTGTTCAGTTTATTTGAAGGGGGAGGCCTTTTTTACACAAAGCTGAGATTGCATCTGCCTGTCAGTCAGTGCAATCTTGATTTTTCAAGTATCGAAGATCAATTCCTTTGTCTTGAAGTAAGATTCAGCATAATACAAAAAGATGTTCCGTAGGATGTTTTGAGTAACTCATCGTTAACTACAAACCCCACATTTTTTACCATGTGCTAAAATATTTCCAATGCCAGTTTTTCCTGGAGAATAATGTGCAATTTGTAGGAAATTATCTAATAATCATGTTCGTAAGGGTTAAGGTGTACTGCTGAGAGGTGTATTTTATGTTTGCCTTATGTTCCTGGACACCCACCAGTTTTTACAAATCAAGCAAATACCATTCTACTTGGAACAATTGGACTGCAAAGTAGCAGGCACACTAGTACTTAAGTTTCTTTGTCCATTTTTGGTCCATTTTTCACATTTTTTGAATAGAGTAATGGAGAAGAGCAAGTAAGAAAAATAAGGTTAAAATGAGATGAGTTCAACAGCACGGAGGAGCGGTTATTCCCCATTTCAGAGGTCGGGAGAGTTGCTTTTGTTGATTTGCTATGTATTTCTTTGTGATCTGTGGCTCTTTTCTCTGTCTCTTGTCCTTTCTATTTTGTCTATTGTCTTTTACCGTTCTTACAAGTGCTGTTCTGAGACTGGATTTTAATAGGTCTTTTATATTCCCATGCTTTTTTGTTCAGTGATACGAAAAGGTCCTAATTTTGGCACTGCTTCCAGCCATTATAATAATGCTAATAAATAAGGAATAACCTACTGTTTGTAATGCAGCAGGTATTTTATCATGTTTCTCTTAAACCTGCAGCTGGATGCAGAAGGTTGCCGCATCCTTTTAAGCTCGTTGTTGTCTTCAGCTTCTAGTAGCCAGGTGTATATGGACTAATTTGGGGGGGCGGGGTAGGGGAAAAAAAAAAAGATTTAAAAAAAGAGGCATGAAACATTCCTATGTTTTTGCAATATACTTTCCAGCATATGAATCATACTAGTT